TTTCTGCTCCTGTAAAGATTTGCAGCCTCGGAAAGGCTGTGTAGGGTCGCTATGAGTCAGAACCGACTCCACGGTACTTAACACCAACACCAACAACTCCCTTACTCAGGGCAGTTCTGCATAGCTGTCTGGTGACTCCACCAGCCTAAGGGGACTCCCTGGCCCTCTAGGTACGCTTACGTATGTGTTTCTCTTAATGAATCCTCACCTGTTAAATCCTATCTTGGCAAATGTTTCTTAGAGGGCACACTAACGAAATAAGGAACTTAAAGACTGAACTCTCAGTTTGGAAAATGAATAGTTCTTTTTTCAACTGCCTTAATGATCTTATATAACTAGGAATTCAGAAAGTGGTGGTGGTGATTGTATGCCTTGGAGCCAGTTCTAACTCATAGCAACCGTGTGACGGATGGTTTTTGAGGCTATAAATCTTTACAGGAGCAGAGGGCCTCATCTTCCTCCCATGGAATGGCTGGGTAGCTTCAAACTGCTGACCTTGCAGATAGCAGCCCGACTCATAATCCAATATGCTACCAGAACTCCTTATGAATTAATAATGTTTTTAAGGGTCATTGAGTCAGTTCTAATTCATAACAACCCTGTAAAGGGTTCTGGAGAGCGACTGGTGAGTTTGAACCGCTGACTTTGCAGTTCAATACATTACAACTAATAATGATATCAATATAATAATATGCTACTTAGAAGTCCTGGTGTGGTGCTGTGGGTTAATACGGTGGACTGCAAAGTTGGTTAGAAACACAAGATAGGTGGTTCAAGTTCACCGGCTACTCCTCAGAAACCCTGTAAAGGTCTGCTGTGGGTTATAACGGACTCAATGACAACAATTACACATTAATTAACAACAACAACTACACATAGAAGTCCTTGCAACACAGTGGGTTAGGCATTGATCTGCTGACTGAAAGTTCAGCTGTTCGAATCTACCAGTCTCTCTGAGGGTCAAGATGTTGGAGACTGCATCCGTAAGGATTCACAGCCTTGGAAATCCCGTGGCGAGCTCGACTCTCTGTCTTGCAGGGTCATTAGGAATGGGAATTGACATGAAGGCAGTGGGTTAGTATACTGCGTTACAATTTACTGTAAATTCAGATACCACACTAAATGTGATCATAAATTTTTAGTCTTTTCTGCATTACAAATCATTTGAATGGAGCATTAGTCCTTGGTTATGACCCGTATCTTCAAGACACACTAACTTTTTTCTTATACATTTAGGAGAGTTAGCAGATTCAGACTATAGAGTTCATTGTTAAATTTGAATTTCTATCTGAATTGTTAATGCCTCCATACTTCATAGTGTTACATACATAAACATAATGTTTATACGTTTCATTGCTACCATACTAATCTCCCTTCATTGATAAGAAGGGAAAATATACTTACATAATAAATGTTGTCATTCTTCTGTTTGATTAATTAAAATCCTCCTTAAAATATGCAGGTCAATTTCTCAATTGTTTTATACTTTCAATATTGTTACTTACAAAACAACATTTTCTTCAATAACTCTGGCATTCAATTTGAGAGAGTATGTCTTCAGAAATGATTATATTGTCAATATTCCATTAATTGTTAAATTTTTCAATTCTGTTTGAACATAAGGAGTGCTGTAGAATAATCACTGGACTGCTAATCACAAGGTCAGCAGTTCAAATCCACCAGTCCCTCTGAGGGAGAAACGTGAGGCTTCCTGCTCCCTACGTCGGGTCGCAATGGGTCTGGGTGTCTTGGCTTATTGTTGTTGGTGTGTTAATAACATGCCCCGATAGATAACTTCTGGAGATCAGAAGTTCTTTAATTTATTGATCACTACCTGACACGGTAATAAATAAACAAGTTGTCGTCAAGCTGAGAGGTCTCTAGCTCATGGTGACTCTGTGTGTACCAGAGCTGGTAAGTGCCATCGAGTCAGTTCCGAGTCATAGTGACCCTGTGAAGGGTTTCTGAGGAGTGGCTGGTGGGTTTGAACCGCCGACCATGCTCATTGTTGCAGTGCTTATCCTACAGCAACACACCAGGACTCTGTGTATCACAGAAGTGGATTCTATAGGGTTTTCAAAGGTTTGAGTTTTCAAAGTCTTCCAAATCTTTCCTCCAAGGTGCCTCTGGGTGCACTTGAACTGCCAGTCTTTCAGTTCGCTGCACCACTTGGAGACTCCATCTGGCCTAACAGCTCCCTCAAAAGCCTACTGACTTTATGTATCTTCTTGCTACCATCAAGCACTCACCAATTCCCGCAATGACAGCTACCAAAGTAGACTTTGAGGGTCGGTTACATTCTTCTAATTCTGTGACTAAGAACTCTCCATTGTTGTGTGTCAGGCAGGACCCTACTAGTGCAATGGTGAAGCACTAGGTCACTAACTGAAAGGTCAGCTGTTCAAACCCACCAGCCACTCCATGGGAGAAAGCAGAAGTAGTTTGTTTCCATAAAGGTTGCAGCTACTCTGTCTGAAGGCGTCACTCTAAGGGTTTGATTGTTGTGTGCGCCAGCAGGTTTAATGAAGGACAAACAGCAAGCAACTGTTTGCTTTGCTTCTGTGAGCACAGATGTTGTCAGGAAGCGTGTCCCACTGTAGGTCTGACTCCTCCACGGCCACAGCTGGGCTCTGTGCTGAGAACTGCAGGGAAGGGGACGGGCTCCTACAGTTAAGACTGGTGGCTTTGTGATAATGTTGCTGTTGGTCTTACTGCATCTTTCAATTTTTATCGACGGCTTTGTGTGGTAGGCCAGATTATAAATGGGATAAAACCCTGCAATATTATTAAAAAAAAAAAAAGGTTGGAGATGCCTAAGTTACGTGTTCTACATTTAATAGCCAATTCTGAGACACCGATGTCCTTATCTCTACAGTGGCCTGAAATAGTGATGTTTTCCAGCAACCGAAAATCCACTGTCACCGTGTCGATTCCGACTCATAACTGCCCTGCAGGACTCAGTAGCACTTCCCAACTGGGTTTCCAGAGCTGCAGATCTTTACAGAAACACACTGCTTCACCTTTCTCCCAAGGAGCGCTGGTGGGTTTGAACCACCAACCTTGTGGTTAGCAGTCTGGTGTTTATCCTACAGTGCCACGCCCGGACTGCACACTGTGGTTAGCCCCTCAGTTAAAAACAAACAAACAAAAGGAAAATACATGGCTATTTCATATTCAGTACTGGGAGGCTTTGGGTAAGTAGTTGGCTGCTAACCACAGGTTGGTGATTCAAACCCACCAGCCGATCCTTGGCAATCACTTAATATGAACAACCACAATGTGTTCACGGTAGTAAGTCTGAAATGAAAACTCACATGCACAGAATTAAAGTACTTATTGACTGATCTATTAATAAGACATCAGGGATTAGGATTTGAGCCAACTTTTAAAGTAAAAAATAAAAAAGCAAAAATCACCATTTTATGTCAAATGTGTTATTGACGACATATGCAGGGGCTTCAAAAAGTTGGTGTAGAAATGGAATGAAAAGTTACTGGAATATTTCCATGAATTTTTTGAAGGCCCCTCCTATGTATCCTTACAGCAAATAATACAAGCATCGGCCTTAACTTGTTGTTGTTGTTGAGTGCTGTCATGTTGGTTCTGACTCATAATGACCTTGTATAGGGTCTCCTAGAAGCAGCTGGTGAGCTTGAACTGCCAACCTTGTGGAGACTTCAATAGTTGGGTTAATATAGTTAACACTTGGAAACTTCCTTGGAACTTTTCACTTCAACTTCCAAACACCTAAGCAATATTTTGCACGTCTTTTAAATGTGCACCCTAACCTACAGAGGGGCATTGCAATTCACGAGATTTTCCCAGTTTGTTTGGCGAATAAGAGCACAGACATTTGATGATCAGGATAGTACTAGAAAACCTATAAATATTTATAAACTTAACTATTAGCTTTCTCAACAGCCAATATTTAAAAAATTCTCCCATGGGTTTAATCAAACAATCCCAGAATTCTGAGACAGGTACAATGAACATAAAGCACGATTCATTAAAGGACAAAAAAAAAAAAAACCCTAAAAAGCTGAAAAAAATACAAATTTCCATTTACTGTCTTGGACAAAATATTACAAGTTTAGTGTCTATGAGACTAGAAATGAGAAACAGATGAGAAGCACCCACTACCACCTCTACTACCAAGTAATAGGAAATACCCATGCTGCTTATAATTTACTTATAACCAAAACGGAAATCCCTTTAGAAATGTACCCGTTTCAATTTTCTTTCTGCGGATAAGTATAGAAAAAAGAGAGAAAGAGAGATGCATATGTATTCTGATGTTAAAATGGAAATAGCATGTTTTTATCTCTGTGCTATTATCAGAAATAATTTGTATATCTAAGAATTACAGAATTTCAAGGTCAGCGGTTCAAACCCACTAGCCGCTCTGAGGGAGACAAATGAAAACTGTCTATTCCCTTGAAGATTTAGTCTCTGAAACTCTATGTAGGGTCCCTTACGGGTCAGAACCAACTTGATGGCAGTGGGTTTGGATTTTTATAACAGTGAGAGCCAGGCAAACAAGTCACAATCCACAACCTAACACATATTCACCAACTAGAAGAAAGAAAAGCAAAAATTTTTCCCCCCAGTCTCCTTTCTCCTTCTTTCAGATTGAATCCTTGTCTCATCAGGCCATGAAGGGTTCTATCTTTGACAGCTAGTTGATGTATAAAATGTGTGCCTTCTCCATAGACTACTTGATGTTTTCATTGCCAGAGAATGATGCTATGTTTCTTTCTGCTGGATTGATTTATGTCTGACACCAGTGACGCTCGTCCCAGGGAGCACTCAGAAAGCACCTGTCCACAATGGCAGCTGCCTCTGAGGGAGTATGCTATCTACGTTAATGATCACTCCCTCCACAGTGAAAACCAGGTCAGAAATGGCTTTGGGCATGAGGGATGCTTTTTGTGGTTGGTACATGGCCCTCCTAATCCATGTTCATGTACAAGCATAGGGGAGAGGCCATTTCTTTTACTTACCTAAGATCCTGCCCAGTACGAGCGATTTGACGGCACTGAACTCTCTACCTGACGACAAGTGGACTTGTCTCCTGGCACTCTCATCTACCTGCAAGGTGTTGCGTACGATACAAAGATCCAGTGGACACCAAGTGGGTTGAGAAATGGACAAGAAGCAAAAGAAGACAAGAGCAAATGGGGGGGGAAAAAAAAAAAAAAAGCTAGTTAGTAGGACTTACAAATAATTTTTTAAAAATGGTCACTTGCTACTACCGTTAAGTGCCTTTGAGTTGGTGGAGACTCACAGAGACTCTGTATATCCAAGGAGTGACTGGTGGATTTGAACTGCCGACCTTCTAGTTAGCAGTCCACTGCTGATGCTACAGTGCCACACCAGAAAAAGCAACGACTGTTTTCTAAATGATATCTATGTCACTGCAATCCACCTCTGTCTTTATCTTTCTCCACTGTATATGGAATCCACACTGAGCAAAACCAACAAAAAAGATAGAATCGGTTGTTTCTTCACCTCAGTACTTCTACAGAGCTCAGTGTTTTCAATCATGCTGCTAAGAAATGTCCCTCGATGTAGAGGGCAGAAACATGAATGTTTCTCTTCAGAGCTCATACAACCAAGAGCTGCAGTTGCTCCGCTCTGATGCAAATCACTTTTTAGTCTCTCATCGCATTCTTTCTCTTCTGTGTTAAAACCCATCTGATGTAAACTGGCTTTCTTGGCGTGCCTAGGACCCCACAAGCTGTACGCAACCATAAATTAGCATTTTCCAAGAGGGCGAAGGGAAGCAAAGGAGTAATGTTTATCCTGTTCCGTCATCAAATATGAACAATATCTTAGACGGAACATTATTGCTTATAGAGAAGGTGATCACAACGGACATCCTGTCTAAGATCTGAGGAACAGCAGGGAAAGGATGTGTTTGCGTATTTGTTGTCAAATTGTGCTTTGGGCCCTGTATGGTGAGGAGTGTACTTTAACCAGGGCTGTTGCTGAGTTTGCCCTTACCTCTACAAACACCTCTCCTTCTTCCCTGTCAATCTTCACGCCGTGAAGCTGCCCGTCGGCCATGTTTTTAAAATCAAAGCTGAGAACGTCAGGTTCCGTCTGCCTGTTGAGTTTATACCTGATCTGCAAACTCCCTAAAGAGGGGGAAAATGGGTTTTGTTTTCTTTTTTTCAGATAAAATTACATTTTAAAACACCACCACAAAGATTCACCGACTTCTTGTTGTAATTATGTATTCATTTCTGGGGACAAAATTTACAACAGTCATCTGGACAGACCATGACAATTCCTAAAGTCAGTATCCAAACTAAATTACAGGATTTTAAAAATCAAGACCAAGCGTGTTGCTACCAAGTGGTTTCTTTCATACAGATTTTTCTCAAAAGTCAGCATGGAGATTGTTACTGTTAGAGCCGTCGAGTCAGTTCTGACTCAGCAACCCTGTATAGGGATTCCAAGGAGCGGCTGGTGAGTTTGAACTGCTGATCTTTCGGTTAGCAGTCCAGTGCTGATCCCACAGCGCTAAGTATATGCAAATCTCTGCACTAGCCGGTCACTAAAACGAATAAACAAATAGGCCCCTGGGATAGTGTGAAATGCCAAAGTACTGGGGAATGGCGGAAGAACATCCCGTTTCTATAATAGTATCTCTTTTTGAGCAGCTGTTCTTTTTTCAAAAGACTCCTGCAAAGCAGTGGACTAACGGAATTTTAATCAGTAACTGTAGTTATACTAGACATGAAAAGAACTTTCAAAGAGTCACCGTCAGAGATTCTGAGATGAAATTGGTGTAAAATGAACAGTTTTAAACCAAATAAGTCAACAGCAAGATGACTGTTGTTGTGAGTGCCACTGAGTCACTTCTGATGCACAGTGACCCTATATAGGATTTCTGAGGAGCAGCTGGTGGGTTTGAACTGCTAACCTTGAGGTTAACAGTCCCGTGCTTATCCAAAGGTGCTACACCAGGAGTCCAACAGAAAGAATACTACGAACTTATTAGCCTGCAAAGATATCTAATATTACTTATACTTTCTATAAAGTATCAATACCTTCTAATTTAACACAAAAAATCCTAATGTGTAGCTAAGTTTCAGATTCAAAATGCATATTGTTGTTGTTAAGTGCCACCAAGTCAGCTTCGACTGATGGCGACCCTGTGTAGGATTTCCAAGAGCGGCTGGTAGATTTGAACTGCTGATCTTGTAGTTAGCAGTCCAGTGCTTATCCTACAGCACCAAACCAGGACTCCAGTGAGCATAAATATATTTACTGAACAGCATTAGTTTTAGTTTTGGCATTTGTTGCTCTTGGGCCATATTTGACTTAGTTGAAATGATATGGTCACATGTCTGTTTACGAGGGGGTCTTCAAAACAGTTTATGAAAAAATGATGTTATCATTTCATTTTATTTTTCCGTGAACTCTTTGACGCTCCCTCGTATGTCTCACCCAGATGGAAAATTTGTGGTTAAAATCTTTAATCAGGACATGGGTGGGGATGACAAAAATAGGAAGTGGTGGTTTTCAGTGGCATGCTCATTTGCCCTGTCTGCGGGCATTCACCTCCACGACTCTGCTAACATTGTCCCGGACTTCTCTACTTCCTGTGGTCAGAACCCATAAGTTATCGCATGATAACTTATACACTTTATACATTTTCTTATACATAACCAGTTGCTGTTGCATCAGCTCCAACTCAGTAGCGACCCCCTGAGTATCAGCATAGAACTCTGCTGTTAGGGATCTTTCAGTGGCTGAGTTTTTCTAGAGTAGATTGCCAGGTGTTTCTCCTGAGGTACCTCTGGGTGGGGCCCAAAGCTTCAACCTTTTTGAGTACATTAACTATTTCAACCACCCAGGGACTCATTTTGGGACATGCTGCTGATTTAATAACAGCCCCTCAACTTCTTTACTTGGCTTTGAACAAAATACTTGTAATGTACAACTAAGCATCTTACTATGAAATCTATCATGGGGAGCTATATTCGGTAAATTTGTATGGACTAATAAAGAGCCCCTATGAAAAAAGGAGCTCTGGTAGTGTAGTGGTTACGAAACGGGACTGCGAACCTCAAGGTCAGCAGTTCAAAACTACCAACTGTTCCACGGGAGAAAGACGAGGCTTTCTGCTCCCGTAAAGATTTACAGCCTTGGAAACCCTGTACAGGGTCGCTATGAGTCAGAACCGAATCCACGGCACATAACAACAGCAATAATAAAAGTACAATAATAAGATATTTTATCTATAATAAACAATACATTTCATGTTAACTGTGTGATGTTATCAAAATTAAGAAGGGATCTGTATAACTTAAATAATCCTTTAAGGTAAGAGATATTGGATGGTACAGAAAACACAAAACATCGACACGCTATTTTTCCCCCTTGTTTGTAGTTTGGGAAGCAAGAGAACAATGCATGTCATTGCTGACCTAATGTTCTAATTCAATTTCCTCTCACTCATTGAAAAAGCACTCACCATTTTTGGCAATGATAACTGAAAGGTATTCTTTATAAAAGGAGCTCAGATAAAGCAGCAAGCTTGGCGTTCGTGTTGTTCGGAAGCTAAATTTGATCACTTCTCGGCTCAGCTTCATATCACCGTGAAATGAGGCAGCGTGGGAGCTGGAATTTTTACTTAAGGAATAATTCTCTTGAAAATTGTAAATCACGGATGAGCCCGATCCAAAATAGGCAGAAATCTCTGAAATGACATTCACGTGTTGTTATGTTAAAGACGTCTTGTTCTAGTTATACTAATCGATATTGTAAGATTAAAATAATAATCATGAATGACATCAGTATAAGAAACAACTCTAAAACAGAATGGACTAATGCAGTAAATTAATAGAGTTTTCAGGATGGTCCTTGGATTGGCTTTATCTTAGAATTACATACAATTGATTCACGAGTCTAGTTTTACAATTGTAAGCTTAATGCTTCCTTCTCTGAGTACAGAGATAAAACAGACTGCTAGACTTCTACCTTCTTTAACTTGCACTGTTTGTTTAGATTTTACGCCCCCCTCCCTTTTATTTTTCAAAATAGAATGCACTGGTCTTCCTGCAGAGGCTGGGAAGGAGGTAGGTTGGATTGACCCTCTCAATTTCCTGGATCAATGGACAAAAAGTGTCCTTTATGCCTACATACTTTCTTATATTTATTGCACGCTGCAAAAAGAAAGTGACGTATTGGGGAAGTGTTGGCATTAGTCTGAGAGCATTTGCTTAGCAAGGGTCAATACAAGAAATAACCCAGCTTCTCTTAAATCCATTTTTAAAAGCATCGTATTTTACTTGGTATAAGATTAAATTCCCCAGTGTGCAGGTGTACACAGAACATTCCAAACACATATGCCCACGAGCAGGAGGGTGGTGGGAGGGACAACAATGCTGTATCCCTGAGCCTCCATCTCTCTGTCACTACAGAGGGCTCGGCGTTGACTCAGAGCTGCTGAAGATGCTTACTTGGTGGTATACCCATAAGCCCAATGCCACTGAATCGATTCCACCATCGATTCCACAGCCTTCCGCGGCCGAGCAGAATTTCCAGAGGGTTCCCAAGGCTGTCGTCTTGATGGGAGCAGCTACATCTTTCTACAGAGAAACAGCTGTGGGTTCGATCTACACACTTTTCAATCAGCAGCCAAGAGCTTTACCCTCTGTGCCACCAGGGCTCCTCACTAGGTCATCTGTTGTTGGTAAGTGCCGTTGAGTCGGTTCTGACTCGTAACTGCCCTGTCTAGCGCTGCTGAGGCTGAAAATCTCTGTGAGAGCAGAAAGCCTCATCTTTGTCCCAGTGCTAGGTCCTACAGCAGGGTCTTACGTCTCTCAGTACCTCAAGGGACTGCTGAAATTATCTGTATTACAAACAATACGGAGTGTAGTTTGTGTACCCAACGTTGGTAGGTACGGAGTCCCATTGCTGAGTGCACTTAATAAGGTGGACCAGAAACTAGAGACTCACAAGTGGTTTTTAACTATCAATGTAAAAGTCTCCCCAATGGTATCACAGGCCGACTTTAAATGACAATGTATTCCTGAAAAAATGCAGAGGACTCCAAATGGGTGCTTGTGGCAGTTTTTCACCCACTGATCCCAAGAACTTTGCCAATCAGGAGTCGCTTCAATTTGGAGTTCGTTTTTGTTCGGCTCTCAGGAAAATGCTCGCCAGGCCAGAAACCCTAAAATCATTCAAGTTCAACAGGAAGGCAGCCTTCCAGGAGGAGCTGGAAAAGCACAGCCGATATGGTCCTCTCAGAGACCTCAGTCTAAAACACTTCACAGGACACTCGGCTCCCTCCTTCATCCACGGGATCACTCAGCGGACAGGATAAACCGGGACAAGCCAGTCCCCGTGAACCGGATTCAGACTTTCAGACTCATGGAGACCCATGTGAGCTCCAGAAGGTATCCAGGGGCTGACTTTTCAGAAGTAGACTGGCAGACTTTTCTTCTGAGGTGCCCTGGGCGGACTTGAACCTCAATCTTTCAGTTAGCAGCTGAGCGTATATCCATGTGCACCACCCAGGGGTTCTTCAGTGAACAAGAGAAGATGAAAAGGAGTCTAATATTTTCCTTTGCAGAACCCTGGTGTGGCTCTGTAGACTAAGCACTGTACTGGTAACCATAAGGTCAGCAGTTCAAACCCACCAACCCATCTTGGAAACCCTATACCTGGTCGCTATGAGTCAAAACCGACTGCATGACACACAACAATGACAACATTTTCCTTTGCCAACAGATAGACAGTCTAGAGATCATAGAGCAAAATGCCTGAAGGTTTCCATTTTATTACACATCATTACTTAATGGAAGAGTTATTTATAGTCTTAACCAAAATGGATGGTTGCCTAAAATAATGGAAAACGAAAATAGAACAAAGCAAAGCCAAAAGCCACAACGTTTTCTTTCTAAATGTCTTTGAATTACAGAGCATGATCATAAAAATAACAGTAATTCCTTCAATGATTCTCAAGTATTGGATTTCCCCATGTTAGTATGTTAACAATCATATTATTTAAGAATGTCAAATTTGATAGAAACAAAGGAAATTGCACATATAACACTTTAAGATGCTCAACGACAACTCCTGTTGTTAAGTGCCGCTGAGTCAATACCAACTCATAGCGACCCTATACAGGGTTTCCGAGGAGTGGCTGGTAGGTTTGAACCACCGACCTTGTGGTTGAAACTGACCTCAGAGTCCAGTGCTTGCCCTGAAAACAACCAAAACTTGAAAACAAGCCCTAGCTGTGGAGTCGGTTCGGATTCCTGGGGACCCCACAGGTCTGCTCTGCTCTGCAGGGTTTTCATTGGCCATTGTTTGGAAGTGGATTGCCAGGACATTCTTCTGAGGTACCTCTGGGTGGATTTAAACTGCCAACTCTTCTGTTAGCAGTCCAGTGTGTTAGCCATTTCCACCACCACCTCTTCCTCAGCATCCTCACAGTATAAAATAACAACAACAAAAAATAACCACTGCCTTCCGGTGGATTCTGACTTATCTCGACCCTGTAGTTTATGTCACCCAGGGGCAGGTATTAGCAACAGCCTGGATCTTCACGAATTGAGCCAAATCCTTAACTAATAAAACACAATTGGCATTCATCGGTACTTTGCAAAAGAAATTCAGAAAGAGGGGTATTTTTGTTTCCAGCAGCTACCCAGGGAAAGTGAATGCCCAGCGCTTTGTTCATAATACCGGGATGGATTTCTTGTGAGGGACTCCGGACCACCCTCACCATTGGAGCAAAAGGGTCCTGTGTAGGCTGAGAAAGTGCAGTCACAGGAGAATCCGCTGGGCTTCTCTCGGCATTTCCCCCCATGGCGACACAGTTTCCCATAGCTGCCACAGTGTCCTCCACAGCCTGGCTCCACACCGGGGGTCACTGTGGCTCTGTCTTCCAGATCCAAGGCCAGCCCATTCAACTGCAGAGACCGGATGCAGCCCAGGAAGCCCCGCTGTCTGGTGGCCGTGCCGCCTACAAAGGAAACACCACAGATGCTCACGTGTTCCAAGATGCTGGTTTTGTGTCTGTTTTGTATAAATACATACAGTGTGTTTACTTGTGATTTTATGTAACTTAACAACCCCCCCAAGCCACACCCAATGACACGGAGTCATTTCCAACTCCTCGTGACAGTACAGGACACAATAGAACTGTGCCTTAGGGGTTTCAAGGCTGTAAAGCTTGAAAGGAACAGACAATCTCATCTTTCTTCAGAAGTGCAGCTGGTGGATTCAAACCACCAACCTTTTAGTTAGCAGCTCAAATGCTAAACGTGCCGCAGGTTTACAAAATCTCAAAAGCTGTAACAATCTGCTCGCTTGAGGCCACACAAGTCATGTCCAGCTTACCACCGTGCAACTCATGAAACAAATGTTCTTTTGGGTCTCAATCATTTATTCAAGACTTCAAGACCAAATAAAATTGAAGCTTTTACAGAGAATGGCACACATTTTGGTTTGGCAAAGATATCTATCATGAATCCATGAGATTTGGGAAACACTATTTGTGATCAAAATAATCAGACTTCAAAAAATAAAAAAGATGAATTCAAATATTTTTTAAAGTTCCAATTGTTTAAATAGTTGATTTCTAAATATTTTGTCCCCTATCCTTTCTTTTTCCACTTGAAAAGATGACATTCTCAACAGAATGTAGGTAAAAGGAATAGATGAATAAACCACAAAGGGAAGAAGCTACAAAGAGTGAGATCAAGCAATAATTTCTTATCCAACTTCTAACTTGCTTTTCCTTCTTTCTTTGAGACCACGGAGCTGTAAAATTTACTTGCTATTTTTAAGTGGCGCTGAGTCAATTCCAACTCATAGTGACCCTGATAGGGTTTCTGTGGAGTGGTTGGTGAGTCAGAACCACTGACCTTGAGGTGGTTGTTGTTGTTAAGTGCCGTTAAGTCAGCGCCAACTCACAGTGACCCCGTGTAGGGTTTCCGAGTAGCGGCTGGTGAGATTGAACCAGTGGCCTTGCGGTCCAGTGTTTATCCTACAACACCACACAAGGACTCCATGCTTTACAGAGACTAATTTGTTTCTTATATCATCAGTGCCTCTCCACTAGCCCCTTGTTTTCTCCATTGTGTTTCTTCAAAAAAACATAATAGGATTCAAGAAGAAAACCATTTCATTTTCTTTTTACCACAGGTCATACTGGGTTTGAATGGCATTTCAATTCTCCAAGCTTTACTAAGAAGTTCTTTGTTTGGCAATAGCGGTACAAAACCGTATGCCCTGATCTTACTCTCAGAAAGCTCAGAGTCCACATTTTGCCAGGAATTCACCTGATTACTATATGGTGCTAAATGGGAACACTAGACACAGGAGAGAAGGAGGTGAGAGGATGAGGAAAAATATGTGACTGTGTGTTATGTTAAATATATGTGGCTGTGTGTTAAATATATGTGGCTGTGTGTTAAATATATGCTGGAATCGTTTTCATAATAGTAAGAAGAAATATCAGCATATGGCTCTATGAATATGACCTCTTAGTTCTTCTAAAGAGTTAATGTTTATCTAATTAAACACTCTTAATTACATTTAAAATTCATCAGGAAGCCCAATGTCTAATTAAATATATAGAGCTGTGTCAGAACTGTATTGAGGATTTCTAGTTTACGAATAGGCTTCAAGTTAAAGACACACCTGCTCTGAGCAACGTGGCTAATGCAAATAGGATTGGACCTGAGAGCTTAATTAAAGATTGCAATGCCTTTTTAGGGTTAGAATATGTCAAATGAAAATGAGTTGCAGTTTGATTAATTGATTCTGGATGTTTCTGCTGAGCTATTATGTTCGGAACTATCTTCCAATTAATTTTCTATCAATTTACCTGCCATACTATATCAGATATAATGAATTCTGGAACTTCACAAACACCGAGTACCTTGTGAAATAAATGCCTAACCTTTCTATGTAATTGAATATTGCGGAGTTTGTTTACGATATTCAGTTCTCGTCCATTGCACAACAGTACGGCGCCACCACACCTGAGTAACTGCTAGGTGCTAAGGAGACACTGAGGCAGCCTCCACCTGCTGCCTGGCCTTAACACATTCCCTCTTCTCAGGAAGTCAGTCTAAGTGACAGATGTGGTTGTCACAGGATAGGAGCTGACTCCTTCCTATGCCAATTCTCCCCTACTTTTTGGCAAGAAGAACTTTGAGATGAAATTTTAATTTTTTCAATGGCAAATTATTCATGTGCTGTGCCTGAACATTATTGAGAACTAATTGGGAGCAGCTAGACGATTCAGCTATGGGTTTAGAGAAAGGAAGAGAGAAAGACAGAAGACCCCAAGACTTCTCGCTTAAATTCAGAGTTATGGAATCTCATTTGGCAGAGCACAGGGAATCTCCCCAACCTTGAAAATGTGTCTGAGAAAGGCAGTTAAGCCGCTGACACAAATCAGCTCAGGGAAGGGAGGGTATAACAGGATGAGGCCCGTGGACTGGATCCAGGGCCAAGACAGGGAACCGGAGGGAATAAATGGTCTTCTCTAGTCATACAGTGAATTATGAGCCCTGTCCATACCCAGCCCTCCTGGGGCAAGCAGGGGGAAGATTAGGATCTGCTAGTTGCTATAACCGCCAGGCATCTCTCAGTTAGTCAGACTGCAATGAATTGTGGGTTGTTATGTTGGAAGCTATGTCACTGATATTTCAAATACAAGCAGCGTTGCCTATGGTGGCTAGGTTTCAGTAAGCTTCCAGACTAGGAAGAGGGACATTATGATCTATTACTTTAAAAACTGGCCAGTAAAACCCAGCAGCACGTTGTCTGATGTAGTACTAGAAGGTGAAGCCATCAGGTTGGAAGGTACTCTAAGTACGACTGGGGAAGAACCGCCTTCTCAAAGTAGATGACATGGATAGAGTAAAGCATTCAGAATGTTCCTTTGCTGATGGGGCATAACTCACACTGAGAAGAAACAGCTGCAAACAGCCATTAATAATTGGAATGTGGAATATACAAAGTAGGAATGCAGGAAAATTGGAGTTGTCAAAAATGGAATGCATGAAGATTGATATTCTACGCATTAGTGAGCTGAAGCTAACTGGTATTGGTCATTTTGCATCATATGGTTCCTTATGCTTGGAATGAAAAATTGAAAGAGGAATAGTGCCACATTCATAGTCAAAAAAGAACATTTCAAGATATATCCTGAAGTACAATGCCGTAAGTGATAGAATAATATCCATATATCTACAAGGAAAAGTTAATATGACTACTTTTCAAATCTAGGCACCAAAGAGTAATGTCAAAGACAAAGGAATTGTTCAGAAAAAGTTTCATCAACTTCTGCATTCTGAAATTGATCAAACATTGCCATCAAGATGCTTTAATAATTATTGGTGATTTGGATGTGAAAGTTGGGGGGAAAAAAAGACTAGTAGTTGGAAAATATAGCCTTGAGACAAAAATGATGTTGGAGATTATATGATAGACTTTAGCAAGGCCAATGACTTATTCATATGCTAGGTCAATACATAAGGAAAGTGAATGAAGGATTGATGTATGTGAATCACGGTGTTGGCAAAGAATACTGAATATATTATGGACTCTCAGAAGAATGAACAAATATGTCTTAGAAAATGTACAGTGAGAAAGCTCCTTAGAAGGAAGAATGGTAAGCCTTCTTTTCATATCCTTTGGACATGCTATTTTCATCTCAAAGAAAACAGACAACCTGCACCACTGGACCAATAAATTGTTGGTCTTGTTAAGTGCCATCGAGTTGCATAGTAACCCTGTCTAAGGTTTCCGAGGAGTAGCTGGTGAGTTTGAACCACAACCTTGCAGTTCAAACCACCCTTGAGGTCGAGTGTTTATCCTTTGGCTCCATACCAGAATTCCCAATAAATAACATCATGATAAATAGAGAAAAGACTGAAGTTGTCAAAGACTTCATTGTGCTTGAATCCACCATCAACACTCATGGAATCAGCAGTCAAGAAATCAAGTAAAGCACTATATTAGGCAAATCTATGGCACAAGACATCCTTAAAGCATTCAGGAGCGAAAGTGTCAGTTTGAGGACTTGCATGAGCCTGACCCAAGCCATGGTATTTCTAATAGACTCATACCCATATGAAAGTTGGACAGTGAGTAAGGAAGACTGTAGAAGAATTGATACACTTCAGTTGTGGTGTTGGAGAAGAATATTAAAATACCACGGGCTGCTAGAAGAAAAAAAGAATCTATGTTGGAAGTACATCCAGAATGTTCCTTAGAATCCAGAATGGCCAGACTTCATCTCTCATACTTCAGCCACATTATCAGGAGGGACCACGCTCTAGAGAAGAACATTATGCTTGGTAGAATGGAAGGTCAACAAACAAGAGAAAGACCCCCAACAAGATGGATTAGCACAGTGGCAACAGCAATGGGCGTAAGTGGAGCAACGGTTGTGAGGTTGGTGGAGGACCAGGCAGTGCTTTGATCCGTTGTGTATGAGATAGCTGTAAGTCAGACCAACTCAACAACACCTAACAACAATAATCAGGAAGAACATCATGCTTGTTAAAGTACAGTGTTCTAGTGTTATGGCAAAACAGGAAGACCTTCAACAAGATGGATGCACACAACAGTTACAACAATGGGTTGAAACATAGCAACAACTGCGAAGATGGTGCAAGGCCAGACAGAGTGTCATTGTGTTGTACACAGGCTGACTCTGAGTCAGAACTAACTCAAGGGAACCTAACAACAACTGCCTTGGAGCCGATTCGAACTCCTGGTGATGCCATGTGTGTCACGAATAGAGCCGCTCACCACAGAGTCTTCATTTTCAGTAGGTGGTTTTTTAGGGGTAGATAATCAGATCGTCCTTCTTAGGCAACTCGCGTACACATGAACTTCTTGCCTGTTTAGCAGCCAAGCACTGTAATAGAAAGATTTTGCCTTGCAGAAATAGTGGTGTGAGCTCATGGTAAGGACTCCTCCCGCATTGGGAGCATAGCT